CGCCCTTACGTTAGATGAACAACGATAGAGTAAAGACTGTACCAGGCGCCATCACATGCATCAAATGCGCTGGAATGAGGGGAAGGGAAAAATGAAGAGCAATGAAAGGTCTCACACTATAGACCTTGCTAGGAACAATGGACAATAGTATATAGATGAAGTATTGGTAGATATCATACACTGGAAAAAAACACATTGTATCTAGAGTCCAGACTCTTGAAAACATTGACAAGAAAAAATACTCTTGATTCAATCGGATTTTTTCTTGAATCAAAACGAAATCCACTTAAATTAAGAGGCTTGGTTTTTGATTTAAGCTAGATTCTGATTGAATCAAGAGTACTTTTTCTTGTCGATGTTTTTAAGAGTCTGGACTCTAGATCCAATGTGTTTTTTTTCCAGTGTAAGTTGAGTCCGCCTTCACTCTCGTCGCGTAGGCAAGAAATACACCGGAGAGTGCGAATAGTTATCAATTCGAAAAGAACGCATTTGAATCGCTCCGTAAGTTTTGATTAAGTCGAGGAAAGACATGTTGCTAACCAATTTGTAGGTATTGTCCGTCCGGAATTCACTTTCATTTTTGCCTCATAAGAACGCTGAGCACGAAAAGTTATCTCCTCGAAAAATGCAACCCCTTTTCGCTGCATAAACTTTGATATCGCTAATGCTTCAACCTATTTACTGATCGTCCACTTCAGATTCGCCTTCAATTTTTCCGCATAGACAGCAAACGCACCACATACCATAAATATTTACCGATTTTAATAACGTACATTTACCTCGCTCCTTGAGCTTTGAATGATTTGATAGAACAGAGCCATAAGCTCTTCATTTCCTTAACAACTGCCGGGAATCGCAGTTTCATAATTTTGTCTTATTTCATGAATACTTTAGGGAACTTTTAAATTATAATTTAGAGTAAATCATTCATACCTGAGCTGCTGACTTAGTATTTAAAAATTTGTTCATGCTAAACCATACGAGGTATCGTCCGCACAGCAAAAGGCAGGAATCACTTCAGAGACTTTAACGCAAGGGCAGAAAAGTAGGCGTATTGACAAACGCGAGTCTCTTAAAGCTTAGAGAAATGTTTAAACAAATCCGGAATCAGATTGTCAATACGCCTACTTTTCTGCCCTTGCGTTAAAGTCTCTGAAGTGATTCCTGTCTTTTGCTGTGTGGGCGATACCTCGTATGGTTTAGCATGAACAAATGTTTAAATATACTAAGTCAGCAGCTCAGGTATGAATGATTTACTCTAAATTATAATTTAAAAGTTCCCTAAAGTATTCATAAAATAAGACAGCATTATGAAACTGCGATTCCCATCAGTTGCTAAGGAAATGAAGAGCTTATGGCTCTGTTCTATCAAATCATTCAAAGCTCAAGGAGCGAGGTAAATGTACCTTATTAAAATTGGTAAATATGGCGGTCAAGATCTGAAAGAATTTTCAAAGCTCTGTCATATCCACACTTAGTCGTAAAACGTGGCACCCGCGTAAGCGTCAAATGAGACGGTGTGGATTTCACAGGAGCGCTTGTGAGTTTCGGATCGTCATAGGAAACGGGGCCAGCTCTCGGCTTTTTGACGGAGCCCGAAAACCGATGTTTGAAAGCTCTCCTCTTAAGTACCGAGAGCATTATTCCAAGGATGACCCACAACAAGCAACAGGCAGCTCCTCGTCAACTCGTGTTTTCGACGAATAATTTTTACCGACGCCTACTAATATGGGATCTTGCTCTACTCTTGTCAGTCATAGACCTCGTACCGCGGTCCGGGTATCGGATTGAGTGTGTTTCATTTTCTGTTCGTACTCTTCCGTGCTAAGGAAGAACGCCGTATGACTCTTCAGACGTTGCCAAACCTCATTCGACAAATCTCGAATATCCCGGAAAATTTTTAGATACTTTTCCTTCAAATTTTCAGAGAATTTCGTTCGTAACTTGATCTATGATGTCTAAAATTTGGAATCAAAGTTATGCATGATTACCCTCGAAAATAATTATTTTCTGAAGGTAAATTTGGCAACATGTGAATGTTCATACGGGCTTCTTCCTTAGCAAGGCAGTACTGAAATCGAGCCCAAAAGCATACGTCTTGCTTCTGCTCTATTGGGGTCAGAATTAAAAGGATTTTGATCGAAAATACACGGCACTAACGGATGCGCTATCGTTTTTTATGATTAGTGTCCGGTTTATCGTAGAGTCAAAGATTGATACATGAAACCTCCGTTGGTTGATTAGGTCAGACTTTCGGGAGATCACTTTAGAGCATATTTATGCTTTATTATGTTCTTGAGAAGATGATGGACAAATTAATGCGTTCGTCCACAACAAGAGGAACCTCAGTCTAAAAAAAATCAAAATCAAGTTATTGATACTGAAGACAGAAAATGATTTTACGAACATTGTGGGACAAAAATCGTTAACGAATTTCAAATCATACCACAGATGATGCGGTTTGATGTTCAGTAAACGTAATTTTGAGAAAAAGTTTTACTAAACTTTTAATCTTCCGTGTTTCGGATGCGCAAAGCAGGATATGAATTGAATGTAATATCCTCATTTTTAATCATAGAACTTTAAATTTCCTTTAAATTGTTTATTTTTATTAAACTGCTCGCAATTCAATATGTTGGACACTTTTCGGAGTTTTCCCCCGTAATTTTAAATCAAATTTTTCAATCGCACCGACAAAATCGATCAATTAAATATTTAGCACCCGAGGACTCTAAATCGAGTTCCTTTTCTGGCTGGTCACATGGACATGATTATGCTAAAATAAATTATGTTACACGCAATCCCTACGCGCACATTCCCTTTCAGCATGAATGCTCTCATAATCATCATGCGCCGAAACGATGGCAATACGTGGAGCTGCAAACCCTATATAGTCACCTTCCAGCTACAACCGCCATGCGACTTTTCAAAATTTCTACTGCCATTTTATTTTTTCACAGAGTAATTGTTGGTTGAATCTGTTCTGAAAATTGAATCTGAAAATTGAATCTGAAAATTTCACTAGTTGTTATCGGCAGCACGAAGAAAGTTTAGTGAAATTTTCGGTCAGTTTCATTGAAAAATTTCTCTGTAACAAAATAAAATGGGAGCGGAAATTTTGAAACGTCGCGTGGCGTTTTTGATACTTTGGCCGGGAGGCGACGATACGCCCATTAATTACATAAAACTGATTATAATTTCGAAAAAAAATCAGGTCAAACCGACAACAGGGCGAGGAGGATGCAGTTGATGAAGCTGGTTTTACAGGCTAGCGAGTTGAGGCCAGAGCGGCGCGTCTTTTGTTAAGCGTCCAGCCCACATACAAACTAGAGGCTTCAAAAAAGACTCATCGATGCCTTTCCTGGCCCTCTCATTGGCCAGCGGTTTAAGTCGGGGCAATCGATGAGTCTCTTTGAAGCCTCTAGTTTGTATGTGGGCTGGACGCTTTAATTGACTTATTAAGATTATCGCCCGAAATCCATCACCTATCAACTTCCAGCCATCGAGCGATGCATCGCGAATCCAGAAGTCGCTAATCGATACTTCATCCTTAATCGACACTGAACGGATCTCCGAAGCTCGACAGTTCCGCCTGCGAAGAACAAACGAGCCATCGCGAATGGGGTCTTAAGTCACACGATCGCCTTCATAACTGAATCAGTTGTTTTCAAAAGGGAACGAGTCTATTTTTGCATGAGCCTTGGCTTGCATAAAGGGACATGCTAACGAAGACTCATCGAGGAATGGACCTGTTACCTTTTGAAAACAACTTATTCAACTATTTCCTTTCCTCCGTGCGCTCGCAGGGGGAATAAAGTTTCCTGATCCGTGTTAGATACACCAACCCAATAGGGAATACACCGGCTTATCCATAGACATCTTCACACTTACCCATCGTATCCGGTTTCTTTTTCAATCGATATTTTTGTTTTTGTGTTTGGTATGTGACCCTCGTGTTTCTCGCGAAATACCGCAGAAAAAATCTGCTTGAATCATACACCCCTGCCTCACACGCGCGTGCTGTAAAAAATCGAGGAGTGAAATTCGGTGTCAGAGTCTGATAAGCGCCCAAAAACCCCGAGTGATATCAATTGCGAAGTGAAATTAGGAAGAGTGTGTGACACTCCGCACCCGCTCCTTAAGGTGATTCGATGGACGCCATATTTTTTGTCAGAACGGCATGCGATATATCGCATCCATTGGTTCCATTTTTTCAGCTACTCGTCATTTTTCTCCAATTTTGAGACCGCAATTCTGTTGGCAGGAGACTATAGCACTCGCTTATCAATTTTAACAGAGAAATTCAACGTAAGAAAGGCGTGGTTTCTTCCGAGAGAAAACATCGCATTCGATACTGATATCGGAACTGCACTCGAGTTTCTGAATTTCTGTGTTAAAATTGGTAAGTGAGTGCTTTAGTCTCCTGACAACAGAATTGCGATCTTAAAATTGGAGAAAAATGACGAGTAGCTGCAAAAATGGAACCAATTGATGCGATATATCGCATGCCATTCTGACACAAAATATGGCGTCCATCGAATCACCTTAAGGCCCAAGGTTTGGGAAACTTGTTTGGCTCATGGCGTCACCTGAAGCTCATCATTCACCATGTAGGTAGGTCAAAAGCCGAAAAAAGAGTGATGACTGTTGCTCCCCATAATTGTCCATAAGTAAGTGTTGAATCTCCGAAATTAAAAGCTTCCACCTATCGCCAAGAGGCCAGTGGAGGGTCTCTTGTCTCTGGTTGCTCCTAAGTTGATGATTGATGAGACGGATGCAGAACTTACAGAGAGAAGTTGTGAACCTCGAAATGAACTTGGCTTAGAGGCACTGCAACTGCGGTGATCGGATGACAAGTTGCGATGGTCCCCGGATCCGCGGAGCATTTCACATTTCTCCGGGGGACAACGGGGGGCGCTGGGGTTACCTCACCGCTTTTCTCCTGCGCGCCGCGCGCTGGCCCCGCCACCGCTGCATACAGGTCCTTCGCGCCGCGCTCTTGCACTTCACTTCAAGTTCGCCCAGCTCCGACTCACGGTCAAGGTTACGCCGCGCGCGCTCCCGCTCAGCTCCCGCGTGTAACCAGACGCTCAACCTCCGGAATTTTCACCCATTTTCCGGAATTTTCGCCCATTTTCCGGAATAAAAAGATCCCATCTCCCACACGGAAGCACTCCGGAGTTTCAAAAATTTGTCCGCTATTCGAATCCAAGTTCTCCGTCCAGAAACTTGAGTCCTCGAAGCTGGATTCCAGACGAAAAGGATAATTTTTCAACAACCAAAAAAATCACCTACTTACGCTTAGATATTGACGTTAGTGTCTTAGTTTGAAGTTCCTCGAGAATTATCACCGAAAAATTTTAATGTCGAATAATTTTTCAAGGACGCACCACGGAGTTTAGGAAATTCAATCGGAGAAATACTCGCGATTTCGAGTCCCCGGTTTCAGCCCCAATGGTGGTTCGCTTTCAGCTTTGATTCGGTGGCTGTTGTACTACGTGATTTGTGTGTATAGTGGTGTTTCAGTGGGAAATTTAAAGCTGTGTTGAGTTTGACTGGTGGCGATATTTCGAAGGTGAGTTCCAGTTTTTTTTACTGTTCATCTATTATTTCATTTTTAATCCACGATTCGAGTCGGCGTCTTTTTTGTTTTTGAAAAAATCCCGTGCGTGACAACCTGAAACATATTACCTATCAACATAAACTTCCTGACCTAGTACTGAATGGACAAAGTTAAGTAAAGCGGTCACATCTACAATGCAACATTTCAAAGTCTCATCTTGTATTTTAATTTTTGTAAGGAGCCCAACAAAAATTTTCGCGTAAAATTTTGTGGAAGTAACCTTCATATGGATAGAAAAAATTGCAAAAATTTACGAAAGAGGATGATAGTTAGTTTTCTTCCAAACAATTAAAAGAAGAGATGAAATTGTGAAATGCTACACTGAAGATATGACGGTCAGCTTTAAATCTATCCAAATAATCTAATTTGAAACAAATATATGGTTAAAAATCTTTGCGATCAATAAATTGATAAAATCGTGCATGCAATAGTATTCACATTTTACTTTTTTAGTTTGTGTGGTTCCGTAGTTCTACCGTCGATTACTCTGAAACCATTTGCACTCGTAAGAGGGCTTTTTTTTCAAGGAATTTTGTCTCATTTTCAATCAAAAGATTCGCATTCCTCTAAACTCAAATTGGTCATCGAATGCTCTCTAGAGTTTTTTATCGCGACGTGATCGCAGCCGCAATCGTTGAGGACGTAAACGCATATTACTTTTTTACCGCGGATTTTAAATTAGAAGACGTGCGTAGCCTGACTCAAATTTTGCGGTGCGGAGAACAATAGATTATGACTTTCTTGTCGGATGCAGCTCCAGCCAGGGCTCCAGTGAAGAAAAAATAAAATAAAAAACTAACCTCCGATAACCAACGGTACTCTGCCCCCGTGTAAAAGAGTATTACCGTCCTTTTATAGTAGCAGCTCGTTTTAACCCGTATGCAATAGAAATTATTACAAGTTATTAACTTTTTTTGCGTCGGTAGACGAGAAGGTCATCATCGAATTTCCGCGATGGTATTTGTACTTCATTAGTTCGCTTTTACAAGAATTGCTTATATATAGAAAGCTTTAGAACCTCTCTCATTCTGACGTCAGAAACGTTACTTCTGAGAGTATCATTTTTCCGTTTGTGTTTGAGTATCATTTTTCTGCGCACACTCTCATACGCTTTTGAAGACACCTATTTGTTCGCGTAATATTGAGTTATTAAAATGACCCAAAGTTGTAAGCAAGCTGGTATTTAAGTAATGCTCTGAAACAATAAATCGAGGTAAAAAACGCCGGCTTCCCGGGCTTTATGTTGCTCTATGCAGTTATGATAGTTATGAAAGAGTATTTCGCAAATTTTTTCACAATATTTCGCTACCCTTTAAGCATATTTTTTTCATAGAACATTGCACGAAAATTTGAATACTTTTGTTGATATCAGTATTTTAATAACAAAAATTTAAGAAAGGTCATTTGTTTCAAGAATAGGATACGCGCTAATGCAAAAAATAATTTTAAAAAAACTACTCGAAACATATTGAAAAATACTGAAGCTCTGTCGCGGCTGGACACTCCATAGTAATAGTGACACAAATTTTGAAAAATACCTTTAAAAAAACACCAACACATATATTTAAGTTGCATGATACTATGATGAAGTAGTGTTATTAATTTAGCGAAGTCTAAATAATGATACAATAGTTGTCCAATCAATCAAAACATTTTGTGCAAACTTTGACCTAATGTTATACCTTCATATTTCCATCTTAGCTGGCGTTGTAAGTAGTGACAAAAGCTTCGATACCTCCGGCAATGTCTTTGTGTCAAAAACGTACATTATTCCGAAAAAGCAGGCTTGCACATATCGGCAATAGTCAAGTTCGTTTTTACACGCCTCTACGTTATTTTTCGACTGTGCACACCTTTCTCTGGAAATGCTTAAAGGAATCTCTCAGCTCCTCCATTCGTGATTAAAGAATCACGATATTTAAGTTTAATTTTTAAATCAAAGGATTTAAAAATTACGAATATCAAATGAAGAAATTTTCCATTTATTTTTACTTACTAGACTATCATTTATTCTATAATTTTTTTTCCCTTCGGCAGATTTTAAGCGGAGTCAGCTTGACTATGTAAGACGTTGCTTATTTTTTTTTCTTTATAACAGAGAATTAAGCAACCTTGCTACTTGAAATTTTGTGAGGTATTCTTCACAATCTGAGGTGAATTCATAAAAAGGTAAATGCGTCAGCTAATTTAGCTCTGTAGAAATAAAAGATGAGTGAAATTTTGACAACGTGGAATACCGTCAGGCTGATAGGAAGGGCTTATCCGCTTATCTCGATTTCTGCAAGAGCCCCAGCTTGCATGGATTTATATGTGAGACTGAGGTGAAGCGGGCAATGTGATACGCCCGTCAAAGGAGCAAAAAATCCAGCAGGAGCATTGAAATTCGTCCATTTAAAATAATAACCATTCTTATGAAGGGGACAAAAAATCGGATATACTCTGATGATGTCACCCATTGATTGGGTTAAAGTATTGATATAACTTTTTTCATCCTCTGTTTTGGGTGACTTTACAGCAAACCGTATAAGGCGTGACGTGTAGTCTTCCATGACAACATTCGAAACACGACGAGTGAAAATTGTCGATGAAGATCGAAGTTGCGTCACCAAATTCCTCCTCTAATTAATTGAAAAGAGGATTTCTCTTATGAGCGACGAGCGGTCTTGAAGGAACAAGGAATGATATTGATCCGCTAAGATAGAATCAAAGTCGGCCTGGGCTTCCATGAAAGCTCCAGTTTCTGAATGGATTCTTCTTTGGAGCAACTTTTGCCGACTGCACGAGTAAAACAAATAATTAATGATCGGAGAGGCTAGGACTTTCATTTTCTTGCAAGTTTGCACAGATGAGATCCGAACACCTGTTTTAAAACTACTCCTGCCGTCATCCATTATTTAATTAAAATGTTTCATTTTCTACAAAACCATAGGAAGCTTCACCATTGGCATTTTTTTTAAAAATATTGGTGAATCCAAACAGCATTCTTTATTGACACTGTTAGCTCCATAAAAGCCACCATACGTACAGGGATCCCCTTTAAAGTAATAGCGTTGAAGTACGTAGAGGAAACATTTTTTTAAAAGATTTTGGTGCTAACTTGGAAGAATTAATTTTACGACCGAAAAATGCAATATTTTTTTAAAATATTCAACACTTCTTCCTCCATACTTTTCTCTCGAAAAGAAAATTTTAGAATCCAAAAACTAGAGGCAACGGAAACTCATACTACATTTTATGCTGTGGGAAAATTAAAGCAAAATTTGATCAAACTTATAGAGAAAACGTTATTTTAAAAAATCTACTTTTCGGTCTTTCAGAGAATTTAGCACCACCCTGGTAAAAATTGGCGATACGAGCTGCGTTTCGAAATACCATAGGAGTTCTTATAGCCGACTTAAGAAGGCTGTTGAAAATATGCTGCTGGCTGTAGAAAGCGGAGCAAATCATATAGCCGGGCTATACGAAGCTATAAAAAAGTATACAGTCGGGCTATAGTTTCTATCGCCGGGCTTTACTTTTTATCGCCATTGGCTATACAATGCTATAAGAAATTGTGTAGAAATTCGTGTGCTTTGGAAATCATTAAGTTTGATACGGAACTACCTTAATATTTACAAAATACACATTATATTTTCCTTTAAAACATTTTTGTTTTCATCAGTTTAAATGAGATGGCCCATACAGAGTGTGCGAACATTTCAAAATCATGAGTTGAAAAACGCTAACTCCGCGAGATTAAATATTAGAGCCTAGCACAAAGCGGAGCGGCGACGCATTGGCGCCTACAAACCTAACAGGGATACTTCACGCATTGCGTGGCGACGCACTAGCGCCTACAAACCTAACAGGGATACTTCACGCATTGCGCAATGCGTGAAGTATCCCTGTTAGGTTTGTAGGCGCCAATGCGCGTTTCGCGCTCTCTGCCCGCCCGCCGCGCGCCCAGCGTGCCACGGCGTCTGAAGCAACTATTTTACACCAGAGGTATTGCAAGGTAAAGAATGACAGGCATCCTTCAAAAGTGCGGAGCTTTCCTCGCAAAATAAATCAAGATAATACAGCACAAAAAGAGAACAATAGTCCAAAAACTGACTAGGTCCTAGTATCCGTATATAGTAATGCTTAGCATAAACTTTATCGTCTGGCTGTTGCTTAATCGTCATCGGCTATGAAAGGCTAAAAGAAATTGTACAGCCGGCTACAGAAGCTATTGGAAATCTTAAAACCGGCTTTAGGTCTATAGTATTTTGGAACACACATTCTACTGCCAATTTTTACCAGGGCAACATCGGTTTTTTCTTATGTTTAATGAAGTTCTGGAAATGTATCCGTTGCAATTGTCCAAGGGATGTAAATATTGGGAGCTACTCCATTACAACATTATCAAAATCGTGCAACTTTTCCTTTTCCTGGAAATCGCCCAAAAGATTGAGTAAAAAATTGCAAATTTTGAGTAAAACACATCGACGGTGTAAGTCGGCAATCACATAACTCGGTTTGCGACGTCGTCGCAGACTTCCTGACATACGTTATTTTGTAAACGGAAAACTACTCAACGGCAATTCTTTGAAACTTCCGTGATTTTTCTTCTTTGTGCGAAGAAAATTCTGCATAAACTTCAAGGAATGATGTCAATTTGTAATCTTTTAAAAAAGCAACGTAGAGGCGGAGATTTTCAGACACCGCAAACGAGTTATGTGATTGCCGACTTACACCGTCGATATCTTGTAAGTTTCATTATTATACATATACATGCACACTGTTTTTTCACGGTAAAGAAAAGGTTGCACGAATTTGAAAACACCGCAATGGACTTGATTCCTTTTCGATAAACGTTGTTAATATTTTTTTGTGCCGTGCTCTCTACACTTAATTTTAGATTAGCAAATGGAATTCTTTGATTCGAATTTTGTTTTCAATCCAACTCATTGTGCTCCGATGTCCCGATGCGC